ACAGCAACTGCTTCTTCCTTAAACTGTGGATAAATGCTGGCTTTTTTGAATGTCATTTATTTATTCTCATGGATATATTCTGTCACTGCTATAAAGCCTCTCTGCTCCTGCTTTTTTATTGATTCTTTCCCTATTGGGCTCTTGTTGTTTTGACTGAATCAACAGAGCCATGTTCTGTTCTCATTTGTGATTTGTCTGCAACATGAGGTGTTTGATCATTTTTCTCTCTTCTACTTTTTCTTGATATCACAGAGACTACTACTTCAAACTTGTCTGGTCTGACTTCTTTCTTCTGCTCCTTCTCCAGTCTTTCAGGCTCTTTCCTAGTCTTCTGCACTTTGGGAGACTTCTGTGGCTTTAGTTAGCACAACTTTGAAAATAAACCCCAAACGCTAGGGCTCAGCCTTTAGCTGTTGGTCTCATTTCATCAGCTTTCCTTTAACTCTTCCCTATAACCTCTTACTTTGTTGCAGTCTGTCCTAAAAGGTTTTTCTTTTCCTCCAGATCTTTTGCACCACATCCTCTCACTTTCACCAGAGATGACTGCACTGTACTTTCCAGTGCCCGAAATTTTATTCTCCTTTTAGTTCTCCTTTTTGTAGCCAGTGCTCATCTGACTTTCATCTCTTATCTCCAGATCCACATTTTTAGCTTCCAGTCCAAAACCTATGTGTATGTCTGTTATCTTTTGCCTTGATATAACCTCCTTCTGCCTCAGCCACCTCCTCCTCTCCTCTGTTCTCCAGGGACAGGGCTGGATTGTCCTACAGCCATCGTGGGCTGTAGAGGGGGTGAAGCTGCAGCTCTGCTGTCCTTGCTGACACTCTGCAGACTCACACAGGCTGAGCACCTGGCCTGTCACAGGGCAGCAGCTCACCACTGTCCCCACACTGTGCCTGTAGCTGAGAAGAATGGCAAATGGGTGTGTGCTGCTCTGATTGCAAAGCATGAAATATCCAGTGCTGTTATTCAAAATGCATTTTGCCCCAGTGTTAGCATACCAAAACAGCATTGCAGTTGTAGTTGCTATTCTTTGTGCCATATCCACCACACTAGTAATTTGTAGGTTGGTGGTCTCCTGTGCTCTTGTACTATTCTTACTGCTCTGATCTTCTCAGATTTATATACAGGCTTCCCCATTCAAATTCAATTATTAATCTAATAAGTGGCAACAAAACAATAGAGCTCACATATTTAAGCTGCATTGTCATGTAGTAGTTGTGTCTAGGGAGCTGCCCTCTTGGATATAGTGAATATTGTGGCCTACAGCTGTTTTCTTCTGTATCTCTTTTATAAAATGTTTATGAAAGCCTTTATTGTGATATCCTCCTCTCCTGGCTTTAGAGGAGTCATAAAGTATTTCTCATACAAGTGAGACAGACTGAACTCTGATGTTCCTCACAGTATCTGACTATAGTTTTCACTGGCACCTTCACCACTAACCACATATCTGTATTTCACAGAACATTAGTTAAGCTAAAAATTAAACATAAGTCCCAGAGATTGCATTGTGTCTGCATTAAGACTTTCTGGAGAGCATCCCACTAAGTTCTCAGTGCACTGCAGCCTTAAGATCTAATCAGTATCCCTCTTTGAATTACACAGAACCCAAATAAGTTGTTATCCTAATCTGTGTATGATCTTACAATATTTGACTTCCTGTAGCCAGAATCAGCTCCGTGTCAAGCACTGTCATAGCAAAAGTACATTTGCAGAGAAATAAACCAAGTAATGGTCTTGACAGGATGAACACCCACTTCCTTTTGCTTAGATACTTTGTACACTTAAGGCTGCCCTGTGACTGTGCTAGTAGGAAGTTCAAAACACAGCTTTAATTTTATTCTTTTTTTTTGTTCTCACAAGAGAATATATGAAAGTGAGATTTGGATTGAAGCAGAGGTAACAATTTGCTTAAGGTTTTGCTTGTGTTGGAACATGGATTCTCACAGTTTTGTAGTCTGTAAACATTGCTGGGGACTAGGGCTTGAGGTGTGCCTTTGTACTCACCTCTTGGGTGCCTGAAATAGAAATCTTTCCTAAACACAATGAAAGAAAAGTACTTCACTATGTTGTGTTGGCAAGTATTTTCAAACTTTTAATGTTAACATGCTAAACACTGTGTTAGCTTAAGTTAATGTCTTTTAAAGTGATTATGCTACTTGGAATTACACCAGTGCTGTTTTCATAGTTTTTGAATTCGTGGTTTTGTAATGTGTCATAAAGCATATCTTAGCAGTCTTAGGGTCTTTGCTGCTTTTTCTCAGATAGGATATGGCATAATGCCTCACTTGGTTTCCTAAATAGTTTGCATGTTTGTGACCTGAGCTGGCTTTTAGATAACAACATGCTGTAACCCCACATGAGGGGTGAGATGTGTTGTGTGCTGTACTTTGTGATCTCTGTCTTCAGTGGCCACATTGTTTGATTTGAATGTGCCCAGGATTTCACCGTGAAACCCCAGGCCGAGGAGGCCACTGGGAAGCTGTAAAATGCAGCTCTAACTTTCATGAATAATTCTTTCTGAAGTGAAGACTGCTGGCAGTCCTGGGATGGGAGTGCTTCCATAGCAAACATTGCTTATGCAGGATATAAAATCTTGCTTAGACTAGATCTGTGAGACTGGGCTTATAACTTCACCATGACCTGATCCTGCTGAAGAGTCACACAGTCTATGGGTCAAACTGCCAGAGAAATCTCTGGAAAGATTCCCCCATGAGAGGGATAAATATAGTGTGTTCCTGCTGCTGCTGGGCTGGATTATTTCTGGGCTAACCCCACCCCCTACTCCAGCAAAGCTGTGGGGAGAGATGGAATCAGCCTTGGCCTCATCTTTGGGTACAAATTTGGGAAACAGCTTGCATTCACTTACTCCCGTATTTATGGATGATAATCTTGATTTAGGATTTGAAAGGAATTCCCCCCTTCACCTTTTAGTGAACAGGTTGCTTGTGATTTACAGGGTTACATTAGCAATGTGGTCATATGTAGAATAGAAAAGTGACCTTACAACAATTTCCCTTCTGTCTCCCTCAGGAGACCAGCAAACAGTATTCTACCTTCTGCAAAAATACTGCATTGATTATAACAGTGTTCTGGAGTTTGCTTTTGGTGTTAGCAATGTCGGTACATCAGGAGGTGTTATAAACAATTAAATTAAATAAAACAAAACATGGCATATTTTCAGCCTTCTAATTTGTAGAAGGAAAATGTGGATGGCAATCATTCAGCTCAACCTATGTAGGTGGCTTTGCATTCAGTTTACAAGCCATAATCAAGCCTTATTCAATCCAAGTCTGAGTGGTCTTGAGTTGCTTAAACCAATTATTAATTCATATTTTTTATTTAGAAATCTCATTGTGGCATGTCTTTCTTCTTTTCTTTCCTTGCCTGTATAAAAACAAGTGTATAAGTGTAAGGCTACATGGAGTCATCAGGCAACAGACATATGCTTTCCTGTGCTCTCCACAGGGCTTGCAGGTTCAAACACAACCTGCCTGAATCATAAGAACTTTAATTGAGTAGATAAAGAGGTCCTCATAATTATAAACTGCAGTAGGTATAACAAGAGGCTAAATACATAGCTGTGGTTTTAATTAGCTGGTGCTTCAAATTAGTAATTGTGGTTTCACTCAGAAATCAGTGACTTTATACACTGTTAAAGCCTCATCACTGTGCAGTTCATTCCTCATTATATCTCTCGGTGTGAAGCTTTCAATACAATATCATGCTGAGCTAAAAAGGCAAAAGTTGTAGATATTTGGTTATCTTCCAAGTGCAGTGGAGCTCTATGGAGATTTAATTCATTCTCACCAGAGACAGGAGAATTAACTGTTCTTTGTTGCAGCTGGAATATGTGTGTTTGTGTGTAAGCATCTGTACATACAGGCTGTGTGTGGATGTGTGCACGCACGGTCAGGATCTATCAGGGAGATTGTGCTTACTGCAGATAACATCAGGGCATGCACCGAATCTGCTATTCAAATTGTCATCTGGAATTCGGGAGCTAATTAACTGACACAAAGCAGAGCCAAAAGCCTCATAAGAAATCAAATGTGGCTTGAAAGCACAGAAGTGTCCCTTAATGCTTGTCACACGAGAGGTTGTCAGTGCAAGTTGAAGTATGCATCTTTTCCTTTCCTCTTTCCTTTGCTATTTTTCCCTCTCCTTCAGGGTTTTAATTATATCTCTACCCTCAGAGGAGCAGGAGGTAGTTTGCAGAGCCAAGAGACCAAAGTACTTCAGTGTTATTCAGGGGAGAAGTGAATGTGGTCTCTCAGCCTGTCATCTAGGTCTGGCAGGTGCACAAAGCAAGCTGACACACAGATAAGTGCCACTCACCATTGCTGCACCGAGCTGCTAGATCCTTTTCTGTGTTTGTGTGTAGAATTATCTGATCCTGGAATCAACGATCCTAAAATCTTTTCCAGCAGCCTGCGTCTACAAAACACTTCTTAACCCCTCTTTGACATCTACAATGAAGCCATACATAAATTGCTAACAAGAAGTGGGACAGAATTAGGTGGTCTAAATCACACGAGGCTGAACTGGAGCTTTGGGGTGGATGTTCAGTGTAATGGATTTGTAGATGTTGCTGTGCTTCCTTGCCTTCACATTTGCTTTCCCTGCACAGACCCATGCTTTGTGGGCACACGTGTGTGTGTTTGTCTGCAGGTGCACGTGTGTTTACAGGCTGCTAGTACAAAGATGCCAGAATGTATTTTATTCTTCTGCATAATGCTCTGTAAATTGGTAAACAATATTTTCATTGTTTCATTAAAACACTTTCCATTTTAGAAGTGTACTGACTGCCCTACTGCCCAATTTTGTGTAGTTTTATGATTCCACATTTAAATTTGGGAAAATTATTCAGTGGCTCTTTCTTTCAGAATTGTCCTCAAGAGTTGCACTGTTTCTGATATTTTGTTGCTATTACTGATAGTAACAAACATGTAACAAAATGATGGAGAAAATAATGTGTTGTCATTTTCGTCTTTCTCCAGTCACTATGAGCAAGACCGGAGTGCACTTAAGCGGAAGGAATGGGAGAGAAGAAACCAGGAAGTCCAGCAAGATGAAGATCTCTTTGCTTCAGGTTTTAACCTCTTTGGGGAACCCTACAAGGTAAATTACATTGTTACATTTTGAATTTGCAGAATGTCTTACACAAATACAGATAAAGCTTCTCATCACCTCTAAGAAATGGAAGTATTGCATCTGCCTTGGTACTTCCACTCTTGAATAGACTGATTATCCAAATCAGCATATGGCAGCAGAGCAAACTGGATGTGCTACCCAGGTTGCATTGGCAGAATCAGGAGTTTTGTTACAGTCCAGTTCAAGATTTCTTCCTCTTAACACACAGCAAAGTCCTGCAGTAGAAGTAAGTGCAGCTGGTATTTCTACAAGTGGTTTGGACCTACAAAGCTTACAATAACTTCTTTCATTTTTAGGAAGAAAATATATCTGGGTTTTTAAAACCAATGTCCTCTCTACAAATAATGAGTCCATAATCTTTCTTGTGCAATCATAACCATCCAAAGAAGTCTTTTGGGAGACTGAATCTTTGGGGAGCATAACAAGGATATGAAAGGGACTTTTGTTACAAGTCCTATTCTCTCTAAGGAGCTTTGCTGCCTGAGATTTTCATCACCAAGGGATGTCCCCCTTTATGATTTCTGCTGCTTTGATTTTCAGTAAGACATTCCCTAAAGAATTCATCAGAATGTAAATTTCCATATCTCTTTCTCCTCCCAATCAGTGACATCCATTGAAAGGCCACCACTTCATCTTTCCATTTTACATTGTTAGCAGCTGTAAGGGAGGATGAGGGCCCTTTGAATATCACCCAAAAAGGAGGAGAAAAGACTGCCATTATTATCACATGGTGTCTAATAATTATAGACCAGGGAAGTGTGATGGATGCACTCAACTCCTGGCTGCACTTTGGTTCAGGCTGGCTGAGGAGCAACAGGCCTTTCTTTCTTGGCATGAATTTGCCATCTGGAAAGCCCCTGGCTCATGTTCGAGACAGTGAAGGTGTCTTGACAAACATTTCAAAAGGTGGTTTTGAAGCCCTGAAGTGGAAGATAACCAAAGTGCAGAGCAAGATATCAGAGCTAAAGTGAAGACATCTATCTCGTCTATTTGATTAGCAGCCAACTACTTTACCCTGTAAATATCACCACCAGGTTGAGCCCAGTTTGATCTCTCCCTGAAGTGCAGCTGCACTGCACCCCAGGTGACCCTCTGCTTGAGCAGGGATGCCTCTCAGGGGTAAGGATTCCTCCCCTACCCAAGGCTGAAATCCCTTACCCATGACAGATATTTGGTGAGTGATACCATGCTGAACTAATCCTGTGGAACATTGCTAGTCCATGTAGCTACTCAGTATGATTGTAAATATTGTATGGATAATTCCATCAGAGTAATGTAAGTGGTTATTTGGATTTCAGGAGGTAGACCAGTATGCAAAACACTGCAAAATTTTGTGGCAAGAACTAAAATCATATATCACCAATATCTATTGTATAATAAGAATGACAATATCTGATTTTAGATCTATTTAGTGGGTGTGTATTTGCACCAAGTGTACACAGAGTACGGGGTTTCTTTTCAAAAACTGAATGACTAAAAAGCCAAAAATTATCCTGGTGGTCTTTCTAGGCAAATTTTTTTAAGTTGCTTTTTCACTTACTTGGCAGAGAAGTTTGTAAACTTCATGTGATTAAGCAAAATATAATACAATATGGCCCTAAGAAAGCATTATAATTATAAATTGTGAAAGAGAAAAATTGAGAGAAATTTGCATGCAAAAGTAGTTAAATCAGTCTTAAATTTGAAAAAACAGGTAGAAGCAAAACTAAATAGGAAGGGTAGGTCTTGCCTTCACTTTACCTAGGGGAAGAAAAGGGACACAGTGATAAACCACTGTTTCCTTTTTTTAAGTTCTGCATTGCTAAGACCCAGCCACAGTAGAGTTTCCTAGGCACTAATAAAAGCTGAATCTAACTCTTAGTGGATATGTAGTGATTTTTATCCTTAAGTAAGTGCAAAATTAAATTCAGGAGTTTGCATTTATTCTAAAATAAAATGAAGAGACCCTGATGTGAGAACAAATATCCTGCAAGTGCTGTTTGAATCTCTTCTCTATTTTGAGATGACCAGATGTTTCTGTGTACATGAGACTCAAGGCCTTGTGCACACATGAAGCTGCACTTGTCTCTTCTGGTCACTCTCAGTGGGAGCAAAGTGAGATCAAACACTGCCCAGCAAAGTGCTGTGGCTCCACATCCTCACTGGGCTGGCTCTGCTGCTGAGCATCAGCTCGTGGTACAGCTGGTACACTTCTGAAAGATCTGAGCCTGGGAGCTGACATGGAGACTCCAGTGACAAAGAGAAGGTTGGGAATAGCAGGTTTCAGGAAATAGGAAACATCTCTTTTTCTTTCTTTTATTCCCAGACCTAGTATCCTTACTTGTTTATCATTCCTTCCTCATTTGCTTCAACAGTATCCAGAGGAGGGACTAGGTAGGGTCAGGGTAGGGCAAACCACCACTGCTGTTTCTGAAGTTTTAAAGACTGAACAACTGGCAGCTGTTCTAAGACTGCACTAAGAAATTGATATTAAAAGGTGCATTAAAAGAGCAAGGAGCTCAGATTTTCTCATGGAGCCTACTGCCATTGTGTATCATGAGATGTGTGGAGTATCTGCCTTCGTCTATCATCTCTCTGCTCTAGCTGTTACAGCCTCTTTCTTTCCCTCTGTCAAATAAAACGTGGGTGTTCATTATAGTTTTGGACAAATGCGTGTTTCTACATTGATTCTTTGTAGTTTATGTATGTGTGCACTTAGATGAAAAGAGATACTTATTTCTGTGGGTGTATAAAATACATTTTCCCATGCTTGTTAAAAGATAAATGTCTCCTTTTGAAGCTCCACTGTCTCATGTGGGAAAACAACACCTTTGACAATGTGATGACATCCAGCATTATTTTGGGAAGGTCAGGCAGTAAGGGTTGTGTTGCTCTTTAATGCAAGTGGGTTGCAGGTCCTGCCTTCAAACCCTGGTGCAACCTGTGCATGCTGGATTTTGCAGAAGGGATCAGAGAAGGGCCTGCAGTGTAACAGCAACAGACATTTGAAAAAGCAGTGTTGGAGCTTTCCTGAGAGAAGCTGTAATTTTACTACTGAATTGTTGATACCTTTTAATGTTTTGAATTACTCACAGATGAGTATTTTAAAAGAAAACAGTAGGAGTATTTTTGTTACTTTTCAAAGGAATTGCCTCAGAAGAGTTCAGCTTGAGAAAGAGAACCTAATGGGCTGCATTTCCATTGTGAAGCCTTTGGTGAATATTAAATCATTTATCTTTTTCAGGTAAAGCCCCTCTATGCTTTTCAAGCTTAGCATAAAAAAGATCTCAGCTTCTAATCCGTGGAGGTTAGTTTAACTATGAGGCATGAGGAAGTGAATGAATTATGAAACCTCAAGTTTCACACAAATTTTCAAAAAACACTTGTAAATGGGGCCTATAAGTTTGAGTGCATTAGTTCTTTCCTTTGTAAAACTATAATACAATAGCTAGCTAGCAAATTAGTCTTCCAGTAGGATTCTATTATAGATAGCTTTTGAAAGAAACAGAAGCAAATGCAGGAAGATGTGCATTTCCTAAATTAACAGAAGCCTAGAATGAGGGGGAATGCTACTAGCCATGAATCATAAACCAGGCATATAATTTATGCCTTGAAATACTCAAAATGCTGCATTTCCTTGATAGCAACAAAATTGTGATTCAGCATGCTGTTCAAGAAATAAGACATACAGAGGTTTTCTTTAGGAAATCAGCCAATTATCCAGCATATGAAGGTAGAAATTGTCCCCAGTCTGGAAGTAACAAAGAGCAAGCAGAAATTATGACTGGATTTTGTGTTTCTCATGCTGATATCCGGGCTTCTCAAGAATCCTGTGCTTCTTGTGTGAGCCCTGAATTTGTTGTGGAAACGAAGTAAAAGCATTATTGTTATGCTTTATGTCTTCAATGCAGATGGAACAGTGCATTACATTCCTGAGCTCATTCAGATCGTGATATGATGCCTAAGTCTGATCTTAGTTGCGTGTGCTCTAATTTTATTTAAATGTAAGCCAAATTACCATTAATAGTGGTTTTTTTGCTTTGTAGTCTGGTCCAAACGCCACTGAAGAGACTTCAGTAGCCATTGGATATGAGCTTTAGTGTACCTAAAATATGCTATGGATGTTTAAAATAATTTAATCTCCATGGTTTTCAGTAAATAGGTTTTTATTAATGTTCCCTGTAAAAGACTATGAATAATAATAAAAATAATAACACCTAACATTTATACAGTGTCTTTTATCCCCAGGATCTGAACATTAGGCATAAAATAGAATTAATATCAAGCAAAATTATATTTATCATCATATGGCATATGAAAAAAAATACATTGGGAGAATAAGTACCTCCAACATAAAATAATTGAAAAGATCTACTTTCAAGTTAAAACATTTTCTCTGTGAGGATCTAGACAAGAGCCATTTAGTGTGCTAGGATGTTGAAGTGTTACAGTTATAATATGTTGTCAGTACCTTTTCTTTTTTTTAACTTGTGCTTTCTGGAAAGTAAGGTAAATACTCCCTGGAAATGTAGCTGAACCACAGAGGTGAAGGTTGGTGGTCAGGGGTTTTTTTGGTACTATTTCCCATGTTCTATCCCGTAAGGAGTTAAAGTGTTTGGGCAGGGAGGAAACAGAACAAGTATGTAAGTGTTTAGACTTCGAATCATAATTCCTGCTGGGCCCTTAAGCACAATGGAATCTCCTTGTTTTAAATTTGGGGGTTGAGCAGAGAAAGCCTGGTTTTGGCTGCTGCCCAAACAGCTCATTGTGCAACTCAGTTGAAGGAGACTGCTCATATACAAAGAGCTTATTCTTGGCTTAGCTAGAATATAATTTTTGCCACTAAAATGACCAACCTAGGGACTTAGTGAATTAAAGTGATTCGTGGTTCTCCACAACTGGGATTATTAACTGTATCAGTTAGGAGCACTGGCAAAATGTGTAGAGATGGGAACAACATTGAACAGTTAATTTTTAAATCACTGCCTCAGTGCAGTGTTAATATATGTTACAATCTCTGAGAATGAGCAAAAGGAAATTTGCATTTATTATCTTCTTTTTTTAACATTTTTTATGGCATGTTCAGTACTCTGCTCATCCTCTGACTAGTTCAGCAGTGTCTAATGTAAGTAGATATTTCAGGAGAAATCCATGCATGAATTTTTTCATCACTCAAACTTCTCTTTAATACTTGAGGAAAGTGGGATCAGGGGCATAGAAGGATCCCTCACCAAAGAACTGTGATACTCTAACCAAGCACTAGCTCCTGCTGCTGATTTTCCCTATCTTAATGGCCTGGTGTTAAGGTGCCATTGGACTGTGGCACTACGTGTTTTATTGAGTGAAAAAACCCCTCCAAACAGAAGTAGAGTTGGCTGTATCATGACATAACTTTGTCATTTAATTCCAGACTGTAGAACTGAACCATCTGCTTGAACAGGAGCTGTAGTTCAGCTTTGTTTTTATCCTTTGAGTCTTGTAAAGCCATGAGCATGGGGAATAAGATGTTTTAGTTCTCTGCTGGTCACTTCAATAGAACAGAAAGGTCAGTAGGAAGGCTGCTGCTTTGCATCCGTGTGGGGTGAGTTAGAACAGGAAGAGAGAGGAAATCAGCTGTGTATTAATTATAGCTTCCAGCTTATTTGTCCAGCTTTTTACAAATGAAAGGGAAAAGAAACTTAATTATTCAAAAGGAAAAGCGTAATAGCAGTGAAACAAATATGAGTCAGTATTTATTTAATAATTACTGGAAATCAAAGAAAAGCAGGATTAAGAAACACAACCAGCCTGCAGACAGCAGAAGAATCCCGATGCTTAAGAATGTGGCAGTCATGTCTGTTTATGTTCCATGAGAAAATATTTTTGAATGCTCTTTTAGTTGAACCTACCATAGCATGTGGTAGAAGCTTTTTCTTCTCTGGATTCAGATTAGATACTTCAGGTCAAACTCTACTTTCTATGGAAAAGTAATTGAAGTTAAACTGGAGTGAAGAGTTTGGTGCTATTACAGACTACCCAGCTTCTATTTATGGCAGGACTGTGGGTCAAGGGGCTGACGGAGCAATAACGTACTTACATCAACTCTGTGATTACAATTCAAATGCTCAGTAGCCAGTAATTGTGCATTTGTGTTTTGCACGATATGAAATACACAAGCCCAACATCTCTGACATAAACCCAGCTTATTTTGCGCCTAACATCCATAACTGATGCAATTTAAACACTTCTCTGAGAGCATATTTAAGAAAATGGGAAGCAGTAGACAAGTGTTACTGATGCAAGCCTGTTTCAAGAGATTCTTTGAACACAGTTATTGATAGGTTTTTCTTACATAACATATGCAAAATGTAATTGAAATTTAATTAAATGTCAGCATGACACCATTAAACAGCTAACATTTGCCATCTTCTAAGGCAACTATTCTGAGCAGTAAATTGTAAATCAGGAATTTACTCACGCTTTTCTTGTCTTTTTTTTTTTTTAATATATTTTAGACAAATAAAGGCGACGCCCTTGCAAACCGTGTCCAGAACACATTGGGAAATTATGATGAGATGAAGGATCTGTTAACCAACCACTCCAACCAGAGCCACCTTGTAGGAATCCCAAAGAATTCTGTCCCACAGACACCCATTGACAAAAATGAACAGAACTTTTTCCCAGAACCGAGGAACAGGATGATCCCATCTCATCAGATCAGCGGCAACTCATCAACATCAATGCCTCCACCTTCTTCATTGTCATCTAATTCTGCTTTGCTGCACAGCCACCAGAGCAGCAGGAAGTCGAGGACAGACTGGTCACGCAGTGGTCACAACTCCAGTGGGGCCCAGCCAAGCCAATCCAGTGGTCAGCAGAGTCGGACAAAGCACAGCTCTTCTCATGACCAGTCACAGGGCAGGTATGAAGATCTCTATAACTGCCAGAGTGAGCAGCATAAGAGTGGGGGAGCTGAGGAAGCAAATGCTATGGCAACATCTTCACATTCGAGAAGGCACACTCATGCAAAGTCAGCACCTGGAGAACACACTTACAAAGAAAACAGTCATTCGAAGTCACCCACAGAGCTTGAGTTTGTAGGCCATGGTCCTGGATCTCCACTTCCTTCCACTTCTTTGTTAACTGCAAACAATGGTCTTTCCACTCAGAATTTCCCGCCAGGACTTCACTGTAAGAACAGCATGGTCCAGCAAAAGCCTACAGCTTATGTCAGGCCTATGGATGGTCAGGACCAGGTACCCAATGACTCACCTGAACTGAAACCCCCAATAGAGATTGAGAGTGGATATGGAAATCAGTCCTTTGGAGCACTGCTGGAAGGAAAAGTGAACACACCTAGCTCGAAGAACAAAGTACCAAAGCTCAACATTCCTCCTGTTAGTGAAGTAAGTGGTTTAAAATATCTTCTCTCTAGTACTGCTTGAGTATTACATTCACTACATATTTTTCTCTGGAAATATGTAGTTGCATTACTGGAATAAACAATACAATTCCTTTTTCTGGAATGTGCATGACTTCTTTCGGTGGTTTGTTGTGGTAGTCCCAGTAGCAGTATTTAATGTAGTTTAATGTACTGGTTCTGGACAGGGTACTCTAATATCTCAGTTCATCTGCAATTTTCACTCTTGAATTCTCAGTTAGTAGGTAGTTTGATAGACAGATTGGTATTTTAAATTCTAAGGAAAAATGGCAGTGTTCAAATTTCAGTGGTATTAAACAGTCCTGCCAGTAAGGAGTTTATTTGCAGAGTTTGCTAAATTCCTTTTTTTCTTTTTATTGGAATTAATATGACTTAAGTTGTGAATAATGCTTATGAAAATGTGTCCCATTGTAGCTTTTATGCGTTTTGAAGAGCTCTTAATACTGGGATTCGGTCCCAGTCTCTGCAACCAACAGTTTAATCTGTTGAATTTTGTATTGCTGGTCAGAACAGTAGTCCTGTAAGGAACATTTTAGTTGGTTCATATTCGTGTCCATTCCAAGCACAAATGTATAATAAGGATATGGATTGAACTATTTATACTCTGTGTATTTTTTCTCTTAGTCTGAGTTTCTCTAAGCCTGTAACCTTTGGAAGGTAGGTGTACAGTGTACATACAAGCAGAATTGCAAGATGGGGTTTTCATAGCTTTCTGTTTTCCCAAAAATATTTCCCTGCTTGGTAATATTTTTATCCTAGGAATGAGGAGCAATGCATTCTTAAACTACTTTATTGCAAAAGGTCAGCTTTTTCTATTGGAATAATTGTTTCAAGCCAATAATTTGTTTGACTATTTAAAAACTTGATGTTATTTATTAACATTCCAGGCAGCAACAAAGACTGATGTGTTTTGCAGTAGAGCTTGGAATAATTTTCTGGGAACTGCATCTGAAAACAGTAAAAGGCCTATTTATATCAAGTGGAAGCTGAGGGTTGCTTGCAGATGGTGTTTTATTAGGAAATGTATTTGTTAATAAACGTAGCTTTCTGCAAGATTACTTTACAGATGTTTCTGTTTATTTTTACCTTGGGTTAAAAATCTGCTGGTGTAGATGACTTCAGAGTCTGCTGCGATTTGTCGCTAGCATTGTTTGGCAAGTAAATAATTGCATGCAAAGGAAATAATGATGTTGCAAAAGCAAATACTTTTTTTCGCTCTTGCCATCTATTAACGCTATGAGTCAATAGAAGCACTTTAAAGTGCAGAATTAATGCAAAGTATTTTTGGAAATAAATTGTACCTTTTGCAATTCGTGTCAACTACTAAGAATGCATTTTTAATTTCTTTACTTTTTGAGTGAACTCCTGGCACTATGAAATTGATTGAGTTGTTAACAATGTTTTTTGGATGCAGAATTTCACCCACATCCTTCTTGCATAGCTCTAGGAACCTCTGATATGAACTGTTGTTTTTGGAAGGATTCCTAGTTGCAAATATGAAAAATTGCATTATGAATTTGTTGCTATTTTAGTTTATATCCTGTGTAGTGAAAAGTATAGGTGTATAATTAATTTCATGTTCAGAAAAATTGTAAACTCTAGGCAATTTAGAATCGAAAGTAGATAATAATCTTCAAGCAGTCTGCATTTTGAGACTGAATAATAAGTTGAAGAGGGAAAGAAAACCCAAAGCTGTGAGAAAATAACTTTCCTTTCTGAGACAGAACACAGGACAATAGCCAGACTGATGGATCTTTTACAGGCAAAGCTCCTCCTGAGTTTGGAGAGTTGGATTTTTTCGCCTGTGTCAGGACTGTGAACTTTGGCCCTCTGTTTTTCCACAGATGTGTATCCTGAATTTGATTTACCTTACGTCCAGCTATAAAACTCTTTCCAATCCAACATTATAGATAACTGGTTTAGTTTAAGCTTAATCAGAACTGACAGTGCACACCTGTGAAACCCATAACCTTTTCAGAATGACTGCAGTGAGTGGCTCTGTTGTAATCTTTATACAATTGATGTGGAGGCTTATGATCCTTTGGTGGTGCTTATCAATTTATGAACCTTCCCAAGCCACCTCGAGCCATAGTGATCTGCTTGAAACAATTTTGTTCCTACTCCATAGGTTTCCATCTTAACACTGTTCCACGTGTTGGTGGTGATCTTCAAGCTAGCAATAGGAGAATTGTTTTGGGGGCATTTCTGCATAATTTGCTCTGTGGTTTTCCTCTATATCTGAATCTATTTTTTCAAGTTCCTAAGTGTATGCAGATAGAATGCACACTGAAAGGTTTTTAGTGATTCTCTCAAAGTTTTGCTTGTTCTTAAGGTGGGGAATTCTGTAAAGAAATAAAATTCCTAGGTGATGGTCCTGCAATAATGGCATCCATTAGGAAAAGAAAAAGACTGTTCTTGCTATCTTACAGAGAGAGAGGGGAATAAGTAACCAAATATTTGAACAAGCAGATTTAAAAGAAGTGCTCAGACTGATGTGGAAATATGGTGTCATTTATCATGGCTTAATGGAATAAGATGTTGAGTGCCCTGGAAACGTTCTGCCATGTGTAAGGAAGTGATCAATTTTATAACATAATTTGTGTCACTTGAGGTGTTGCTCTAAGAATCTTTGCTCATTTTCTGGGCCCAATTCTGCCATCAGAGATGCCCATCCATCTTTCTGCTGCTCTGTGCAGACAGCTTTGTTAATGCCTCACTGCTGGCATTAACAAAGTGTCTCTGCCGGGCAGGGGATCGTGGGTCAGTGATTTCTGAGGTCCTGGAGATTCACAGTGAGTTCACACAGACTCACCAGCTGGGGTCAGGAGGTGGTCAGCAGCTCTTACACACCTGTGGACTAATCCTTGCCTCTGAGTGGGGGCTGCTGTGTGATTCCCAGACCTTGGCTCACCCACACAGAGCTAGTTCAGACCTGACTTCACCATCAGTGGCCATTTCTGGTGGAGAAATGGAAGTAGCAGAGCCTCTGTAAACTTTTAGTTATGCCATGGAAGGGTTTCTTTGTGATTTTGTGATCCTGTTGATTTCTTTTACATTTTTGCTTGTTTTTTCATATCAGTATTGTTTTCTAAGGGTGAAGGTGAAACGTTTTATGGTTTGGTGCCTTGAGCAAAACCCAGTGTAACCAGCAGTGCCCAGGCCTGGTAGCCCCTGAGGTTCAGGAGCTGTGGAGCAGATCTTCATGAACTGGGAAGCCATTGGGCCATGATGGGAGTTCCTGGGGCACATGCAGAAATCCACCAGATCTCATGACACAGAGTTGATAGCAATGGTCTTGGAGCTAAAACTGGGAGAGAAAATGACAGAAAGCCTCAACCTGTAAACATTATTTCCTGTTCCTTTCCTATTAACTCCAATCTCTTTAGTACATATTTACGTGCATACTTACATTGCAATACGTATGTATTAATTTTGAACTTGCGTTTAACATCTGATAAATTGTGGCAAGCCGGGAATATTGCAAAGAGCTTTTGTATTATGCAGAATTCCACCTACTTAAATCCTATGATGGGAGATGATTGTTACTTACCACTCAAAGAGAGCTGCATAGTTAAATCCTATGCATTTCTTCAAAAAAGTAGATGTTAGAGACCACAATAACATCTGATCCTCTCTCTGCTGCTCTAAAATCCAGAATCTTGATACATGTATGTATATTTAAACCTCTAGGAATCAGATGCTTATAAATTATTTCAAATTGACTAACGCAGCAGGTGACAGCTGAAAGAAAGCCTGTACTTTTCAGACTGGGCTCAAGCACAAATTACTGGGAGCACTGAGTAAAGCAGAGGGTTTTAAGGTCTGTGGGAACATCAGAAGCTGCATTCCTGCAAAACCTTATGCCCAGTTCCCCAGAACAATGCATGGATTTCCAATAATGGTTTAGAGATGGGGAATCAAGAGCAATTGAGATAATTTTTGATTCTCAAGGCAGTTTTTAAATCTCATAGCAGAATTGGCTTCATGTTCCTGCAAAGTAGCAAATGCTCATGTACAAAATTTTCCTGAAAATACAAAGCTAGGAACAAATCCAAAGGGCCTACGACATCTATGTCACTTTCCACTTATGGAATAAAAAATGGAGAACTTCTATTTTCATTTTACTTCTAGGAAAATATTTTGACGGGTTCAGTATACTGCAAAGTGATAAGCTTCTGTTACATGTTTCAAATCATTCTGTTATCGCTGCATGTATTGATTTGCTTAGTGCTTTCTGAGCTAGCTATAAAAAAGGCTGTTCTCCTTCTGCATTAAAGAGCAAGAAAAATTGACAGGTAGATAACCATATTGATTGAACCTAAATAGTAAATGCAAGAGGCTTATATATGACTTATAAAACTCTCTATAGGAACCAAAGCCAGCATAATACCTTTTTATTTTTAAATTTATTAGAAAGTAGATGCCTTTAACCAGCCCCACCCCTTTTTGATATACATGCTACTCTAGTTGCCAACTGTAGTACATTACCATAGTTCTGGGTAAATCACTTTTTTCAAATGCCAGCTTTAGCTGTCCCCCAGACTTTGAGCTTGGAAGAAGAATGGGCTGAATCACGCATTAAGATGAAATCCCTTTGCTTGGTTCATATTTCAAAAGTCTGAGGCCAAAAACAAACCCAAAGAGCAGTATTTCTTGCAGTATTAGAGGTTACAGCCATATGTTTTTAATTTGTAAATACTGTGAGAAGTAATGTTCTTATGATACTTCTAAATGAAGACCATATGACACCACTCGACTGAGGACCTCTTATTGTGGCCTTTCGAAGGCTACTGTCCCATGGCCTGGACAATGGCTAGCAAAGCTGGTTTGCAGGGATAGCGAGAGGACAGCTTGTCTATTTTAAATCAAACATAAATGAGCATATTTAGGGCCCGATTTTGAACCACTGTGACCAGTGGGAAGTCTGCATTTCAGAACAGGGCACTTAAAGTCACTTGAATAAGT